CCATTGTTTTTGGAGTTAAAATGTTAAAATAAGTATGAAAAACAAATGAAAGCATCTAGGCATTTTTGAGTACCTGAGAATTTACATCCAAAGGTAGTCTTTGAAGTGGTAAAATAGGGAATCATTCATGAATTAAATCACAAAGTAACAATATGATGTTAGTACTTTATATTCAAAACTTTGATGCCTGGCTTTCTCACTGACTACATGTGAGAACCTCAGCAAGTCACATTACTCACTGGTCTTAGTTTCCTCTTCTATGAATTAAAGAGATTAGAGAAGATGATTTTTCTCTGGGCCCTCTTTGGATTACAACATCTAAGCAGAAAACAACTCTGAAGAAAAAATAAGTTAAGCTCAGGCTTCACTATAGTTAGAAAGTGCATCTGTCCCATAAAAACATCAACTTCTTAATTTTTTTCATGAAGGAAAGGACTTGAGGGCATTTGACTTCAGGAAGCATGGCTAGCTGCTATGCCATCAATAACTGAGAAAGAACAGTTAGTGGAGGAGGAAGGTGTTAAGATAGAGAGCCTTGGAACAGAAGGAATAAAAGAGAAAATGACCTTGGTTGGGCAATGGGGAATTGCAACACTAGAGAGCTGAGCTGGAAGGCATAAACTAGGGCAGGAAAACAAAACCAAGGGCAAAGGAAGATGTTCTTCCAACATGGGATGAGAGCAAGCATGATCTGAAGGTGAGAGAGCAAACACATTATCATTTTCTTTGTATCCTAAACTAATGGGGGAAGTGGTAATATCATTCTAAGAGCAGTAAAAGCTGAGTCAGACAAGGGGAAAGCAGACTGTAGTGCTCCCTCCTTACAAGAACAACAGCAGAAGCTAAAGAAGCAAAGGAAGCCTCTGATTCTGGTTACAAACTTCTAGGTACTGGGTCCTCCTTGGTGGCACAGCGGGTTAAATCACAGCACTAAGAGGCTAAAGCCACTTCAGCATGAGTTCCATCCCTGGTCCTGGAGGTGACCCACATGGAACGGCAGACCTCTCCTGACCTGCTCGCTGCTCCCCTCAGCAGTGTACTTCATCAGTTGGCCTGTTCTGCTCCCCACTCTGTCTCTGGTGAATCCTCTCACCGTCCCTGCATCTCTCACCTGTACCCCAGTTCTGTTTATCTAAATAAATAAATCTTAAAAAAACAAAAAAACTTCTAGGTGCTTTAGCCACTACAGCCTATTAGCTACTGCATATGACTTTTTTTTTTAAAAAAGGACGAGTCCTCCCTGGTGGTGCAAGGGGTTAAATCACAGCACTATGAAGCTTTCTGCAGCTTTCCCCTCCTGTCTGACCCACTGCTCCTCAGCAGTGTTTTTCAGTAGATTTGCCTGTTCTGCTTCCCAATCTGTCTCTGGTGAATCCTCTCACACCCTGCACCTCTGGCCTGTACCCCAGTTCTTGTATGCATAAGTAAATAAATCTTAAAAAGGGGGGGGACAAGGGGAGCTATCTTACCTTAGTCTTTCTTTTTTCCTGGCCAGTCCAGCACTAAGCTTGGGACATTCAGAGGTGCCCTCCCTCCTCCCTATCACCCCTTCTATCCCTAACTTATCCTATCAATCAAAACAAAGGGAAGGAAACAGGCAGGAGCCAAAAGGTTCTGTCTTATTTATTCCTCAACATTTCCTCCCTCCAACTCTGTGACTGGCAGGAAGCACAAGGAATGAGTGTTCAATAACAATGCCAGGCAGCAGGAGTTAAGAGTCATCTCTGGTCTTTCCTTCAACTCTGGAAAACAGCACAGAGAGCTCCCCAGAGGTGTGGTGGAACAAAAGTGGGATCCCCTGGAGGGAAATCCACATCCTTGGTAAACTGAAAATTCCTCAGCCATAACTTGAGAAGGTTACCTTCCTGAGATATCCTGAAATAGATAATTTGAATATTCAAATCTTCCTTATTAGCAAGTGGCAGATAGGTGATCATTCTATCCTATACCATAAATTCAGCTTGTCTTCTCTATTTCCAAAGTTGGGAGAGGGGGCAGAAAAGGATGACTCCAGTGAAGACATTTCATAAAATTGTTTTCCCTCTTCATGATAGTTTCCAATTAAGAGAATATAATGCCTAGATTATATCAAAACATGTTTTATTGTTTTTTGGTTCTGCTGGTTATCTGCACATAGAAGGAACATGCAAAACCAGTGAAGCCTTGGGCAAGACCACATCTCAGAGAGAAAATCTTTACATGTTTTCAAAGATCTTGCTTATTACTAGTCACCAGACATTAACTATGTACCTATTATATCCCAAAACCTAGAGTCCCTGTTTCTTAGAAGCAAAATTCTTTCCCTAACTTTTTTCTTTCCCTTGCCCCACTCCAGAAACGTTCTCTCCGCAGTGTTTGCATCTCCTAGCAATTTACAAACATTATTTAAATAATTATTTATTTTGGGCTCTCCCTGGTGGTCCAGCGGGTGAAAGCACAGCACAAAGAAGCTAAAGCCACTTCAGCATGAGTTCAATCCCTGCCCCAGAGGTGACCCACATGGCGCAGACCCTCTCCTGACCCGCCTGCTGCTCCCCTCAGCAGTGTACTTTGTCAGTTTGCCTGTTCTGCTCCCCACTCTGTCTCTGGTAAATCCTCTCACCAACCCTGTGCCTCTGACCTGTACCCTAGCTCTGTATGCATAAATAAATAAATCTAAAAAAGAACTATTATTATTATTATTTATTTCAGTGATCGAAGTCTTTATGGAAAGGCACCTCCCAGAACCAGATTGTTCCAAAGGTAAAAGAAACAATGAAAGGAACTGTGAACTACATAGCAAATTTTCTGTTTCTGAAAGTACTTCCTAGCAATTTTATCTTTCTTCCAAAACTGAAGCCCATTCTCTCCTATTCTCTCTCATTCCACTGTCCCCATTCTTATAAGACAAGGCTTATAAGACAGTTACATTAATAGGGGGCAAACTTCCCTGTACCGATTCAGTACAGCTGAATGTACTGAAACTGTCAGTGCAATTAGAATCTGAAGGACAGTCACACAACCAGTGTGACTCTATGAAAACATTTGTGACTCTATGAAAACATTACCTCTATGAAAACATTTGCTTCTCTGCTGGAAACTATCATGGATATTTAGACTTAAATAAAACAAAGCTAAGTATCATTAATTCTTTTACCCACAGACGACTGGTGGGCTTAAAGATCACAGCATGAGTTAAAAATTATAAACAGGGCTCTCCTTGGTGGCGCAACAAGAAGCCACTGTAGCACGAGTTCGATTCCCACCCAGGGAGCTGACCAACATGTTGTGGCAAACATCTCCTGACCCACCCGCTGCTCCCCTCAGCAGTGTGTTTCAGTACATCTGCCTGTTCTGTTTCCCATTCAGTCTCTGGTGAATCTTCTCACCCACCACACCTCTGGCCTGTACCCCAGTTCTGTAAATATAAATAAATAAATCTTTTTAAAAAAATCTAAACAAAAAGGAAAATGAAGGCCACACTCAGAAGTAGCCAGTTTTTAGCACAGGAAGAACAATGATTATAAATGGATATATGGCAAGAGTTTCCTGAAGCCGGATGTAGGGAACAGTGTAATGGGCCTGGAACAGAAGCAAGAACTCCTCGTACTGCTAGGCCTTTTTAGAAAAGAACTATCCATCTGTACCCCAGAAAAAAAATTGTAAATCACAGCCAGCACAGGATGAGCCAAGCTAGTAACCAGCTGGAACTTTGCTGAAGTGGACTATAGCATCTGCCACCTAAACACAGGCAGTCTCTCTGGCAGAATCCACTGGTAAAAGGGACTGAACCATTGTGTTTATTAGTGGAAGAAAATTCACAGCTCTGTTAAAAGAGAAGCCCAGATGTCGCTAAGAGCTAAAGATGTGCCAGAGGCAAAGACCAAAACACCTACAGCATAGAAAATACAAACTACCACTGGGATCCAAGCAATGAAAGGACACCATTACCCAAACGTATACATCCAGCCTCTATTTATTAACACTTACGTATGGAATAGATATTCCCTGTTGCAGCTGATGTGATTACAAAGAAATCAATTTATTCTGCTTCCACTGGGATCAGTTGAAAAAGCACAGGCAAGCAGAAAATCAGAAGCCAATAACAGCTCATCACCAGGCCAGCCGATTTGTAGAAAATTGTAAGCTGACCTAGACTCACACCTACTTGCTCCAGCCCTGCAAGCTCCATTTCATGAGACATGAACTAAGATCATCTTCCCAGAGGAGTGCACCTCCTGGGGCTGCAGGCACCTGTCTGTCCAATTCAAGCAGAAGGCAAAGTATCATTACTTTGTTTGGCAGCTATTAAACCGGCAGGAGACTTTGATTCCCAATAGTTGTGGGAGATACCTGGCCAAGAGCAATACCTTTAGTGGCCAAAGTGTCTTTCAAGGCCAAATTTTCACAGCCACAATACCAACTCATAAAGACTGATTATATAACTCGTACAGTCTGTACCTCCTGCCCCTTAAACTATGCCCTTTTGCTTTTCAGTAGCCACCAACAAAACACTTGGCAGATAATCATGCCATGAAACTTATTTTACCCTTTTCTCTTTCAGAGACCTAGCAAGTCTGTTTATTCCATAAGAACAGCACTTTATACAAATACAAAGTCTATTAAAGTTTATCAACTTATATTTATTAATGACTCTTGAGGATGAAATGCCAGTCAAGCTGGGATCCACATAAATGTTGATGCCAACCTCCAGCAACAAATGTCTGAGGTGGCACAAGGACAAAGTGGGAAGTGCTAAACTTGACCTATAGAAATTGATTCTATCAAGAAGCTGCTCCCAACACATACTCCATTCCAAAATGTCTAGGCATGCTGTTAATGAATCTGTAGGGAATCCCCTATTTAAAACCAAATCACATTATCATTACCAGCTGCTCTGACCTTGTAAGTGGTCATTACCCACAAACTGATGCACCTCCCACAGAATACACACAGCATTTGGCAATTAGTCCAGGGAAGTACTGACTGGCAGTGGGCAGCCAGATTTGGCCACCTCTTACCTTTTCAGACTTGACTTTCTTTAGCGGGCGACACTCATTCTCCCCTTCCTCTGGCTCCGGTTTAGCTCCCAAGGGATTGAGCGCTGCCCCAGGCTCAATAGCTATACTCCCAAGTGGCTCCACAGCTCCTGTGTCCACCCCTGCACTTCCATCATACTGACCACCCCGTCCGCCCAAGGGGACTGGCTGGAGGACCCCAGGATCCTTTTCTGAACAAGTCCCCACTCCTTCGCTTCTCTCCTTCTTGCTCTTAGATGAGCTGTTCTCTTTCTCCTTTTTGGAGCCGGCTACACTGCGGGACGCCTTAGCCGCCTTCTCTGAGCTCTTGGGAGCAACAGCAGCAACCAGGCTTCCTGCATTGGCACCATCTCCTGAGCGTCCCTGCACCTCTTTCTTGCTAGCTGCCCCCTCACTCGGAGTGAACAAGGAAGTCCCTGGAGTGGGTTTGCTAGAGTCTTTTCCACTCTTATTCCTTTTGGATTTTGATTTGCCTTCCTTCCCTTGAGGACCTGGCACTGGGGTCACAAACTTGATGTTGTCTGGTAGTGTGGCCACAGCATTAGGAGCTGGAATCCCCACCTCCTTTGAGCCTGACATTTCCAGTTTCTGCTGGTCCTTTTCCAGATCGGCGTCCAGGTCAATGATGAGATTCCCTACTCCAATGTCCCATTCATCCCCACTGTCGTATGTCTCAACCGGGTTTGCATCCACTCCTTTCCCTCCGGAGGCTCCACTGCTCAAGGACATCTTAGAGTCAACGTCCCACCTCAAGATTCAAGGCTCTTCCTTGCCCCAGCTTTCCTATTTTCAGCTTCAGCTATGTTCTCAGACCTGCCACATTGGTCAGTACATGCCCAGTGGACAACATCATTGCTGGAAAAAGAAAATTTAAAGAGCTGTTAAAGGAAACAATACAGGCAAGGACACAGGCTGAAATAAACTCCCACACAAAACAGACCCTTCCTAGGTACCTATCACATCACAATGGACAAGACAAACAGGTTCAATTGTATTTCTAACCAAGTCACACTGAACTGGGGGAAAAGTTAAATCCTACTGCATCTCCCTTGAGGAGAACACAAATTTTTCAACTGCCCGGATATTCTGTGGTAAGTCTTAACTGAGAGTCCTCTACAGGTAGTTTCCCACTCCTGAAAGACTTATTTCTACTACCACTGCCAGCTGGCAATTCTCCCTCAATCAATACAGGCCCTGGCACATTACAGACTCAACTCTATTCACATCACCTTTCTCCTTGAGACTCAATAAGAGACTCAAAATCCCAAGGTTTTAAAAGTCCTCTACCAACAGATCCTAGTGAAAAGAATTTAGATTCCTTGTCATTGGTACTGTCAGGGAGAAAAATTCTTATGATGGCTAAGCGCAAAACCAAAAACAAGCAGAACTGGGAAAAATGCAACTTCAAGATAGCGGGAAAACATCAGCAAGATAATCCTCAGAGAGAATTTAACCAACCAGCTTAAGTTTAGAGAAATAAAATCAATCTTACTAAACTACAGGCCTTAAATTATGTTCACACAGCAAATTTAATGTTACCTTTCCCACCTTACTAAAATACCAATGACACACACACAAAAAAAAGAGAAAAGGTATCCTATCAATAATTGAACACTTCTAAAAAAAAACCACAAGAATGTAAGGTAACTTTCCACATTCCTATATGCATTAATAAAGACAAGAACCTCACCATATGAGACAGATTAACTAAATAAGAGAAGTGTACACTTGTAATAAAGGGCAATTTATATCTCTCCAATCTCATGAATTATTTAAAAGACCTGGGGAAAGTATCATCTAAAATACCTGACAGCCAACTTATAGCATACAGGTACTACTTTATGACGAAGCCAAGAATTCTGTTCTTGCTCACACCCTGTCCACCATCTTTCTATATCCATTTAGAAAAATAACTGTTATAAGATAAAGGAACAGAAAGAGCAAACAACACATCCTACATGGTGAGTTTTTAACAAAGAAATGCTATCGATAGGACAGAAGTCCGACAAATTGCACTTTTCCCACCTACTCTCTCAAGCCATTATGTCAAAGAACCAGGTACAGGACAAGAGAAGATGTCATCCCAGGAGAGAAGGGCTGTATCAAGTGAATGTCTACTAGCAACTGAAGAGAAAGGTGGCATGTTAATCTATATGGCTGACCTGGTGCATGGAGCTGGAAGGAAGAAGTAAGACATTAAATCTAGCTGCAAGTCTGAGAAAATACACCCTTTAACCAAGTAGAGAGCTTAATGCCAAAATCAACCAATCACTGATGGCATCAAGTCTACATAATCTTACTTCATAAAAGGATGAGCAAAGTGTGGGAGATGCATGATGTAAGAACTATGAAAAAAATAATTTCTTTTACCCTAAAGTACACAGAATCCTTAAAATGACACCTCTGAAAATGATCTAGAATCCTAGGAAAATTTTAGATAAGTATTTGGAATCCTCAACATTATATAAGACTTAATAGTAGTGTACTATGTAGTCATTCTTAAACAAATTATTAACTCCATGCCACAGGACTATAGTAGGGAATAAGGCAGTGAATAAATAAGGCAGTGAACAAGATGCTGAAAAGAATTCTATTATGTGGGATAGAGCATTTTTTAAAATAACTGAATCTGTACCATAAAGGATTATCAGACCATACTCCTCTCCACAGTAAACCTTTGCTTCTCCAGAGCAGCACTGTCATGAGTATGAATAGATGTGATTTAACCATTAAAACAAGCCCACAACAGATAGCACTAAACAGACACTTCTCCACAGTAGACACTATGGAGACAGCCAACAGACATATGAAAAAATACTCATCATCACTTGTCATCAGGGAAATGGAAATAAAACCACAATGAGGGAGCCTCCCTGGTGGTACAAGGGATTAAATCTCAACACCATGAAGCTATCTGCAGCCCGATCCCCGGCCAGGGATATGACCCACAGGGCACAACAGACCTCTCCTATCTCGCCCACAGCTCCCCTCAGAAGTGTATTTCAGTCAATTCACTTGTTCTGCTCCCTGATCTGCCTCTGGTGAATCCTCTCACCCCACCTTACACCTCTGGACTGTACCCCAGCTTATATGCACAAACAAATTAAATCCTTAAAAAATAAAACACAGCAACAATGAAATACTGCCTCACTCATGTGAGCATGATACATGTCAAAAAAGATCAGTAATAATAACTGCTGGAGAGGGCATGGAGAAAAGAGAACCCTGACACACTATTGGAGGAAACGTTGACTGGTCTAGGCCGTATGGAAAGCTGCATGGTAGTTTCTCAAAATATTAAAAACATCTACCTTTTTACCCATTAATTCTACTCCCAGGTATCTAAACATGCAAAAACACTAGTTTCAAGAGATATATGCACTCCTATGCTCACTGCACCACTACTCACAACAGCCAAGTATGGAAAACAACCTAAGTTCCCAACAACAGATGAGTAGATTAAGATGAGGTACATAAACACAATGGAAAACTACACAGCTATTTTTTTTAAATGAAAATTTTTTAAAGATTTATTTATGCACACAGAACTGGGGTACAGGCCAGAGTGGGGAGCAGAACAGGCAGATATACTGAAATACACTGCTAAGGAGAGCAGTGGGCACATCAGGAGAGGTCCGTCACACCATGTGGGTCACCTCCTTGAACTTGTGCTGAGGCAGCTGCAGCTAGCTTCACAGTGCTGCACTTGAACCCACTGTGCCACAAGGGAGGGCCCCAAAAAATGAAATCTTACTGTTTTGGACAACATGGATGGCACTGGAGGGTGTTATACTAAGTAAAATAAGTCAAGATGAGAAAGACAAATACTGAATTATTTCACTCATGAAATACAAAAACAAACAAACAAAAAAACAAAGTAAAAAAGAAAATCAAAACAAAAACAAACAAACAAAACCTTAGAAATCTGACTGTAGAATTGAGGCTACCAGAAAGGGGGGGGGGGTGAAGCCAAAAGGACAATGGTGGAAAATTATGGGTACTCTGGTGGTGATATCATGTTATAACATACATCTGAAGAGGTATGGAATTGTACCCCTCACAAACATACACAATGTTGTAAACCATTGTGACCACAAAATACTACAATTTAAAATAAAACAAATCCCTTTGTTTATTCTTAGAAAGACAACATAGCTTTTAAAAAGAGCTTTAAAGGGAAAATAAGGTCTCTAAATAACAGGATGATAATGGTAGATGCTGGGGGAAAAATATGGGATATAAAGTATAAGACATATAAAGTATGCAAAAATGGTAGTGCTCACTGAGCGCTTCTAACAGCTTTTACTTTCCTGTACTGTCTGACCTGTGTATGAGCAGGATAAAGAAAGTAGGCCAGTAAGGGAGAGACAGCATATCAACTAAGACAAAATGATAAAGGAAGATACAGGGAATCAAAAAATGTAGCATCATTTAAAATACATACAGAATTCAGAAAAGCATAGAATTTAGACTTTAAATGAGCCCATAAAATTATAAGAAACCTTGAGATTGTTTTCTAAAATGAAAAGAAAAAGGACAGCGAAAAGAAAATGAGGAAAACTGAGAGGTAAAGCATTTAATAACCTTGAAAGAAAAAACTAAAGAGGCTAGAATAAATGGGAGGACAGCAACCCATCAAGACATAATAAATAACATCTAGAGCTGAAAAAGATCTTGCATGCAGACTGAAAGGTTCACTACTTTTTCAGCAAAATTAATTTTAAAATTCAACATTTTGCACAAACTTTTAAATTATGAAGATCAAAATTTGGAATAACCTCAGTCTGCTTTGAATGTTAAATGTTGTTACAAGAGAATGAAAAATATACAGAATTTTGAAGAGAAACACTGTTAGTCAAGAGTCTTACAGTAAGTCAAGGTTTTTTTGTCATGTGTAAAAGAAATATATTTTCAGTTATATAAGAACGCATATATTCATCTTGTTAAATGCAATCTGATACAGGGGCCCTCCCGGGTGGTGCACTGGGTTAAGGTACAACACTGTGAAGCTATCCTTAGCCACTATAGCACAAGTTCAATTACCATCCAGGGAGGTGACCCACATGACAGAGCGGACCTCTCCTGTCTTGCCTACTGTCCCCCTCAGCAGTGTATTTTGTCAGTCTGCCTGTTCTGCTCTCTGCTCTGTCTCTGGTGAATCCTCTTACTCCCCTCTCCCCCCGTACCTCTGGCCTGTACCCATTTTGTATACATAAATAAATAAATCTTTTTAAAAAATAAATAAAAGCTATCTGCCACATTAAAATCAGTCCTGTATAGGGCCCTCCCTTGTGGCACAGTGGGTTAAAAGCACAGCACTGAGAAGCTAAAGCCACTTCTGCATGAGTTCGATCACCACCTGCCCCAGAGGTGACCACATGGCGTGGCAGACCTCTCCTGACCCGCCTGCTGCTCCCCTCAGCAGTGTACTTCGTTGATCTGCCTGTTCTGCTCCCCGCTCTGTCTCTGGTGAATCCTATCACCCTCCACATCTCTAGCCTGTACCCCAGTTCTGTATGCATAAATAAAATAAATCTTTTAAAAAAAATTCAGTCCTATATAACATAAATTTGAATCATTCCTGTGAGCAATTGAATTTTGTAATATGAAGAGTAAACTCAATGCAGATATTGAAATTATTCCTGATAATAGTATAAAATAAAATCAATACATATACTGTAGAACCTCAAAAAGTTTGGCCTAACGTCAGTATAAAAAGATACTTCTTCAAATTCTTGCTGTCCCAATTCCATGTCATGGCAAAGTGGTTTTTTCCCTCATAACCAAGAAATAGTCACTACATTTTTTTTTTAAATTGCGTTACTTCTCAAAAGGGAGCTGGA